ATAGGTCTCTCAAAGAATAGGAACAACAGCAAAACTTGACAAACAGAAGTTCATCAAGCTAAAAAGCTAATGCATAGCAAAGTAAATGATTAATGGAGTGAAGAGACAACCTTCAGAATGAGAGAAAATATTTGCTAGTTATTCCTCTGATAGAGGACTAATATCAAGAATATATAAAGAATTTTAAAAATTTAACAAAAAAATAATTAATCCAATTAAAATGGGCAAATGATCTGAATAGACACTTCTCAAAAGAAAAAATGTTTAACAAATATATGAAATGCCCTTCAATAGATGAATAGATAAAAAAATGTGGCATTTATACACAATGGAGTATTACTCTGCACTAAAAAATGACAAAATCATGGAGTTTGCAGGGAAATGGATGGCATTAGAGCAGATTATGCTAAGTGAAGCTAGCCAATCCCTAAAAAACAAATGCCAAATGTCTTCTTTGATATAAGGAGAACAACTAAGAACAGAGCAGGGAGGAAGAGCATGAGAAGAAGATTAACATTAAACAGGGACGAGAGGTGGGAGGGAAAGGGAGAAGGGAAATTGCATGGAAATGGAAGGAGACCCTCATTGTTATACAAAATTACATATAAGAGGAAGTGAGGGGAAAGGGAAAAAAACAAGGGGGAGAAATGAATTACAGTAGATGGGGTAGAGAGAGAAGATGGGAGGGGAGGGAAGGGGAGGGGGGATAGTAGAGGATAGGAAAGGCAACAGAACACAACAGACACTAGTATGGCGGTATGTAAAAAAGTGGATGTGTAACCGATGTGATTCTGCAATCTGTATACGGGGTAAAAATAGGAGTTCATAACCCACTTGAATCAAATGTATGAAATATGATATGTCAAGAACTATGTAATGTTTTGAACAACTAATAATAAAAATCAAAAAAATGTCTCAATTATATTACTCATCAGGGAAGTGGAAATCAAAACTACAATACCATCAGGGCTGGGGAGATAGCTCAGTTGGTAGAGTACTTGCCTTGCATGCACAAAGCCTTGGGTTCCATCCCCAGTACGAAAGGAAGGAAGGAGGAAGGAAGGAAGGAAGGAAGGAAGGAAGGAAGGAAGGAAGGAAGG